ATGCTAAGATAGGCTACCTACATCTGGACGTCACCTCTGTGTTAATTCATCGATAAGAGACTGATATTCACCTTTAAACATGATCTTTAGAAAGAAAGTAAATCACTGTGTTTCTGAAAACAGCTTCCTTTAGGTGGCAGATTGATTGGCTTTCTACTTTTTCGAGGAAGTTCACATTATAACCCAACCAGAGTGTGAATGCTAGAGTTTTACTCAAGTCTGACTTCATCCACCATCATCACCATCACCACTATCACCTACAGCGTTACTACTTACACTGAATCCAGTGTGACTCAGCGGCCAATGGCAATATTTTTAGTTTTCTCCCTTTTTGGCTTCTCTTTCTTTCCCTTCTTTTTGCCCCTCCTGAACAACCCCCCCCCCCCCCCCCCCTCTTCTGTCCCTCCATTTCTTCTTTGTTTTGGCTGCGGCTGAGCAGTAGGAGGCCCCATGAACGGCTACTGGAGTGACAGCCCCTGGTAGAAGAAGACTGGACAACAAAAAGCCAAATGGGAAGAAGAGGAGAGAGAACATGAACAACAGACAGCATACAAACCTAGAAATATGCAATGTAGATAAATGAGACAGCAGTTGTGGGATCTGCCTATTTCTGTTAAGACATGTTATGTTGAATCAGCAGCACACTGAACGAGTGTGCTGAGGATATTTGTGTGTCAGTGTGTACGTGTGTGTGTGCCTAGACCTGCATCTACCTTTGAACTAGGATGCACAAATATGATTTGATGGAAAAAATGACTTTTCTTTTTGTTTCTTGAGAGTAAAAAAATCTTCAGTTTAGTTTTCCTGTTTACCTATAAAGAATCTATATGTGATGATGTCATCCTTTCAGTGTGCGTATTTCTGTCTGTACTTATTTAATTTATTCTCCACAAAATTTAAAGGTTGTTTTTTAATGAAAACATTTAAACTGATATTTTCTGATGTTGCAGCAATGTCATGTAACAATGTCACACTTCTTAATTGTTGTAGACAGTACTGATGTGTCTTTGGTTAAGTTTCATTTCGGTTTTAATGTCCTGTAATTATCTCTATAGCTCTCACCTTCTTTTTCTTCCGCCAGAATGAAAAATTCACAGAAAAAAAAAGGATGTCAGTTACCTTGAAATCATTCCTTTTGTATTATTATAGATTCCCATCACTTCCAACTTAGTAAAGACTGACTTAGTTTAGTTTAAGAATAAATGTGTCAAGAGACAGATAGTACAAATATGCTAATTGTAGAAGAAAAAAACAGCCGAGGATTTACTTTCTCAGATTAATGTTTCAGAGCTCTGAAAGCATCTCCTATCTGTCACTTGTTTTTGCATTCAGGCTGCAGTGTTGGAAGGTGAGAGCACCAAATGAACGGAAAGGTTTCCCAAATTGGGAAAAAAAAAAAAACACATACTGTGATTCCTTTTTCTGCCGAGAGTAAGATGAGGAAACATATCAATTCAATGCCTGTGCGGTGTATTTGGACCTTAAGCCAGAGCGCAAATGCCTGGCATTAAATTAAAGCTTACACCAACACCTCAAAGGTTTGTTCTTTTTTACCTTTCATCATCTTCATTCAGCAAGGCGCATCTGAACTGTCCTTTACAGCGTCTGTGATACTGACTTGGATGCTTATTTTGACTTACAAAAAGCGAAGTTTAAACTTATTTCACCCACCAAAAAGATTAAAATCAGACTTCTGAGAGTCATTTAGTACCACCAAACACACAAAATCCGTTTGACATGGTTGCTGCTTAATAGTCACAAAGAAGCTACACCATAAAGCCTGCACTACTTTATGTCTATTTTATTCTATAATAAACCTAAACCTACTGAAAGATTATCTTGCTACTTTAAAAGAGAGCAATTGAGTCCAAAAACTAATTTGGAATTTTTTTGTGTAGAATAACTAACTGAGTGAAATGTTGGGTCATTTTCCTATTGACTTGCATACAATGAGGTTTCTCTTTACAAGTAGTGGTGTCGCCCCCTTTTGGTGGTAGCTTGAATGCAGATTTAAGGCACTGTGGTACTGGTTTGTCTTTTGGAACCTTGAGGCCAATCCACTTCTTATATACAGAAAATAGATCGACATCTTAATTAGTACACTTTAGAGGTGGTGGTGTAACTTTCACTTTAGTTTTCAATCTGTACGGCAAACAATCATCCTAATGACTCCTAACTCTAGCTCTGCACTGCAGAGGACTGAGTTCACACCAATACCTCATCTTGCTCTCAAAAAGAACATGAATACCCTTTTTGTCTGAAATGTTAAGCTATTCCCTTCACCTTAACTGAGCCTTATTAATGGCTCTGCAGGGTTTCCTGTTTCACCTCTTGTTCGAGCGGGGCATCAGAAGTCCAACTGAATCCTGATTCATAATTTTGAAGTTTTGAATTCAGCTCATGCTCAGGATTAGATTTGCTATCCCAAATGCACATCAGACAGATGAACACACACACACACACACACACACACACACACACACACACACACACACACACACACACACACACACCACACAAACACATGCAAATATGTAAACACAAATGCCAGTCTCTCTTCTGAACCTGTCTATTGTTTCCTACCATATCACCCTCTGCCTATCCTCCTTTCACTTCCCAAAGTCCACTCCTTTTTAGTCTGTCATTTCCTCA